TACTTTATACTAAGACATGGTCAAATAAAGGCAACTAAAATGCGGGAAGCAGGAGGTTAGTAACCCCTTCTCCTGTATAAATTACTAAATGTAAAGTAAAAGGACACAAGTGCAACTAATGTGACATTGTATTGTGGCAATGTTTTGCTCTCCGGGAGCTTTGTCAAACCTTTACAAACAGTACATGGACACAGAGGGTATATATAGGCTCAGAGTGAGGTGCAATACTAGTGGTAGTAGTAGTAGTAGTGATATAAGTAGTAGTAGTAGTAGGTTGGTAGACAGCAACCACCCAGGGAAGTACTACCGTCCTGCCAGATGACTGTGAAACAAAAACCTGTAACTGTTTTGCATGATGGTAGGATTGCTGGTTTCTTTTTCTGTCTCATAAACACGCTAAGATAACAGGGATATCTTGCTACTCCTACTTACACTTTGGTCACACTTCACAGACACGCACATGCATATATATATATACATACATCTAGGTTTTTCTCCTTTTTCTAAATAGCTCTTGTTCTTTTTTATTTCTTCTATTGTCCATGGGAAGTGGAAAAGAATCTTTCCTCCGTAAGCCATGCGTGTCGTATGAGGCGACTAAAATGCCGGGAGCAATGGGCTAGTAACCCCTTCTCCTGTATACAATTACTAAAAAAGAGAAGAAGAAAAACTTTATAAAACTGGGTTGCTTAAATGTGCGTGGATGTAGTGCGGATGACAAGAAACAGATGATTGCTGATGTTATGAATGAAAAGAAGTTGGATGTCCTGGCCCTAAGCAAAACAAAGCTGAAGGGGGTAGGAGAGTTTCAGTGGGGGGAAATAAATGGATTAAATCTGGAGTATCTGAGAGAGTTAGAGCAAAGGAAGGGGTAGCAGTAATGTTAAATGATCAGTTATGGAAGGAGAAAAGAGAATATGAATGTGTAAATTCAAGAATTATGTGGATTAAAGTAAAGGTTGGATGCGAGAAGTGGGTCATAATAAGCGTGTATGCACCTGGAGAAGAGAGGAATGCAGAGGAGAGAGAGAGATTTTGGGAGATGTTAAGTGAATGTATAGGAGCCTTTGAACCAAGTGAGAGAGTAATTGGGGTAGGGGACTTGAATGCTAAAGTAGGAGAAACTTTTAGAGAGGGTGTGGTAGGTAAGTTTGGGGTGCCAGGTGTAAATGATAATGGGAGCCCTTTGATTGAACTTTGTATAGAAAGGGGTTTAGTTATAGGTAATACATATTTTAAGAAAAAGAGGATAAATAAGTATACACGATATGATGTAGGGCGAAATGACAGTAGTTTGTTGGATTATGTATTGATAGATAAAAGACTGTTGAGTAGACTTCAGGATGTACATGTTTATAGAGGGGCCACAGATATATCAGATCACTTTCTAGTTGTAGCTACACTGAGAGTAAAAGGTAGATGGGATACAAGGAGAATAGAAGCATCAGGGAAGAGAGAGGTGAAGGTTTATAAACTAAAAGAGGAGGCAGTTAGGGTAAGATATAAACAGCTATTGGAGGATAGATGGGCTAATGAGAGCATAGGCAATGGGGTCGAAGAGGTATGGGGTAGGTTTAAAAAATGTAGTGTTAGAGTGTTCAGCAGAAGTTTGTGGTTACAGGAAAGTGGGTGCAGGAGGGAAGAGGAGCGATTGGTGGAATGATGATGTAAAGAGAGTAGTAAGGGAGAAAAAGTTAGCATATGAGAAGTTTTTACAAAGTAGAAGTGATGCAAGGAGGGAAGAGTATATGGAGAAAAAGAGAGAAGTTAAGAGAGTGGTGAAGCAATGTAAAAAGAGAGCAAATGAGAGAGTGGGTGAGATGTTATCAACAAATTTTGTTGAAAATAAGAAAAAGTTTTGGAGTGAGATTAACAAGTTAAGAAAGCCTAGAGAACAAATGGATTTGTCAGTTAAAAATAGGAGAGGAGAGTTATTAAATGGAGAGTTAGAGGTATTGGGAAGATGGAAGGAATATTTTGAGGAATTGTTAAATGTTGATGAAGATAGGGAAGCTGTGATTTCGTGTATAGGGCAAGGAGGAATAACATCTTGTAGGAGTGAGGAAGAGCCAGTTGTGAGTGTGGGGGAAGTTCGTGAGGCAGTAGGTAAAATGAAAGGGGGTAAGGCAGCCGGGATTGATGGGATAAAGATAGAAATGTTAAAAGCAGGTGGGGATATAGTTTTGGAGTGGTTGGTGCAATTATTTAATAAATGTATGAAAGAGGGTAAGGTACCTAGGGATTGGCAGAGAGCATGCATAGTTCCTTTGTATAAAGGCAAAGGGGATAAAAGAGAGTGCAAAAATTATAGGGGGATAAGTCTGTTGAGTGTACCTGGTAAAGTGTATGGTAGAGTTATAATTGAAAGAATTAAGAGTAAGACGGAGAATAGGATAGCAGATGAACAAGGAGGCTTTAGGAAAGGTAGGGGGTGTGTGGACCAGGTGTTTACAGTGAAACATATAAGTGAACAGTATTTAGATAAGGCTAAAGAGGTCTTTGTGGCATTTATGGATTTGGAAAAGGCGTATGACAGGGTGGATAGGGGGGCAATGTGGCAGATGTTGAAAGTGTATGGTGTAGGAGGTAGGTTACTGAAAGCAGTGAAGAGTTTTTACGAGGATAGTGAGGCTCAAGTTAGAGTATGTAGGAAAGAGGGAATTTTTTTCCCAGTAAAAGTAGGCCTTAGACAAGGATGTGTGATGTCACCGTGGTTGTTTAATATATTTATAGATGGGGTTGTAAGAGAAGTAAATGCGAGGGTCTTGGCAAGAGGCGTGGAGTTAAAAGATAAAGAATCACACACAAAGTGGGAGTTGTCACAGCTGCTCTTTGCTGATGACACTGTGCTCTTGGGAGATTCTGAAGAGAAGTTGCAGAGATTGGTGGATGAATTTGGTAGGGTGTGCAAAAGAAGAAAATTAAAGGTGAATACAGGAAAGAGTAAGGTTATGAGGATAACAAAAAGATTAGGTGATGAAAGATTGAATATCAGATTGGAGGGAGAGAGTATGGAGGAGGTGAACGTATTCAGATATTTGGGAGTGGACGTGTCAGCGGATGGGTCTATGAAAGATGAGGTGAATCATAGAATTGATGAGGGAAAAAGAGTGAGTGGTGCACTTAGGAGTCTGTGGAGACAAAGAACTTTGTCCTTGGAGGCAAAGAGGGGAATGTATGTGAGTATAGTTTTACCAACGCTCTTATATGGGTGTGAAGCGTGGGTGATGAATGTTGCAGCGAGGAGAAGGCTGGAGGCAGTGGAGATGTCATGTCTGAGGGCAATGTGTGGTGTGAATATAATGCAGAGAATTCGTAGTTTGGAAGTTAGGAGGAGGTGCGGGATTACCAAAACTGTTGTCCAGAGGGCTGAGGAAGGGTTGTTGAGGTGGTTCGGACATGTAGAGAGAATGGAGCGAAACAGAATGACTTCAAGAGTGTATCAGTCTGTAGTGGAAGGAAGGCGGGGTAGGGGTCGGCCTAGGAAGGGTTGGAGGGAGGGGGTAAAGGAGGTTTTGTGTGCGAGGGGCTTGGACTTCCAGCAGGCATGCGTGAGCGTGTTTGATAGGAGTGAATGGAGACAAATGGTTTTTAATACTTGACGTGCTGTTGGAGTGTGAGCAAAGTAACATTTATGAAGGGATTCAGGGAAACCGGCAGGCCGGACTTGAGTCCTGGAGATGGGAAGTACAGTGCCTGCACTCTGAAGGAGGGGTGTTAATGTTGCAGTTTAAAAACTGTAGTGTAAAGCACCCTTCTGGCAAGACAGTGATGGAGTGAATGATGGTGAAAGTTTTTCTTTTTCGGGCCACCCTGCCTTGGTGGGAATCGGCCGGTGTGATAATAAAAAAAATAAAATAATAATAATACAATATGTTAGAACAATAAACTTGCACATGAGTAAAAGGATATAAAAGCTATTACTTGGAAAACATAAAAATAGGTTAGACAAATATTTCTATTGGAGGCTGGATAGCGAAGGCATTTGCACTTGTGTCCTTTTACTTTACATATTGTCGGTAATTCTACCAACTTTATTACAAAAACTTTATAGGTTTCTTTTTCAGATCACCCTGCCTCAATGGGAGACGACCAATATGTAGAAGAAAAAAAAATGATCAGGTAATCCATTCCAGTCCTTTTCCCCTCTGTAATAGGTGTTTGAGTTTTGGTCACCTACCAACTGTGGGCAGACTACTATATACTACAAAATGGCGTTTACTTCCCCTAACACCATATGGCTATGGTTCCCAACTTTTACACAATTTTCAGAAATTCTGGACATTGGTTGTTAGCAATTTTGTAAACACAGTTTAAGGTCACCATGTCTATGAAATTTCCTTTTGGTATTTGGATTTTTATATAATTCATTTTGAACTCTGCTTAAGTCATAATAAATGCCCGTCAATGAATGAATAGAAGGATGGATGGGAGGTTTGAACTGGTAGAGCATTGGCCCTGTCAATTTATGGACCATGATTCGAGAATCCAGTCTATCCTGGTATTCATAATTCATTATGATAATTAAGGTGGTGTCTCTTGAGTGAGAACCTCTGAAGCTTGACTGTAAACCATCAAGAATGATAATGTTATTAAGATATATACAGTGGACCCCCGCATAGCGACTTTAATCCGTGCAAGAGGGCTCATTGTTATGCGAAATGATCGGAATGCGAATGAATTTTCCCCATAAGAAATAATGGAAATCAAATTAATCCGTGCAAGACACCCAAAAGTATGAAAAAAAAAATTTTACCACATGAAATATACATTTTCCTACACACAAAGAGAAGGATACATGCACAATAGTAGAGTAGTACATGCACAATATATATTGTGCATGTACTACTCTACTAAATGAAGAATAAATGACACTTACCTTTATTGAAGATGCAGCAATGACTGTTTGAGACACTGTGTCCTGGGAGTGCCTTTCCTCCTGAGTACTGTAGGTCCTGTTTGGCCTTTTCTTCCAGAACAGGCCTTATCACACTGTGTATGCCACTACGATTCTTAAATCTCTCAAACCAACCTTTGCTGGCTTTAAATTCACCAATATGAGCACTAGTTCCAGGCATTTTTCCCTGTTCACCTGGGTGTTAGTCGACTGGTGTGGGTTGCATTCTGGGAGACAAGATTAAGGACCCCAATGGAAATAAGTTAGACAGTCTTCGATGACACTGACTTTTTTGGGTTATCCTGGGTGGCAAATCCTCTGGGGTTAATTGTTTCTTGGTATTCTCAATAAGCCACACCAACAACGGTGCTACAGCAGCAGCAGCAGACGATGCTACAGCAGCAGCAGATGATGCTACAGCAGCAGCAGATGATGCTACAGCAGCAGCAGCAGCAGCAGCTGACAGTGCTACAGCAGCAGCAGATGATGCTACAGCAGCAGCAGACGATGCTACAGCAGCAGCAGACGATGCTACAGCAGCAGCAGCAGCTGTACCACCAATAGTAGCGATGGTTGATTGGGGTTTATTATACAACCTGGCCAGCTCGGAGACACGCACTCCACTTTCAAACTTATCAATGATCTTTTTCTTCATCTCTATAGTAATTCTCACCCTTATTGCTGTAGGGTTGGCACTAGAAGCTTTCCTGGGGCCCATGGTCACTTATTTTGCAGATAAAATCACCAAAAACACTGTAATAATACGAAATGTTCCGATTGTATGCTTGGATGTTACCGCGGAGGCTGGCTGGTAAACAATGCCACCGGCGGCACATGTGAGGCTGGCTAAGGGCGCACATTGGACGCGTCTCGGACGAAGAGCGGTGAGTGGGTTTTTGAGCGGTATGCGAGGCAAAATTTTTGCGATAAAAGCGAGTGGTATGCGGATTGAACGTTATGTGATGCGTACGGTATGCGGGGGTCCACTGTAATTATTAAGTAATATATGTATACCTGGAGATACCTGGAGAGGGTTTCAGGAGTCAACACCCTTGTGGCCTGGTCTGTAGAGTTTTAGACATAGTGTACACATTAAGAGGCCACTTGTTACTCACATTTGATCTAGTTTTCCCTGAAATTAGGAGTGACTGGCTGTTTAGAGCCTCTCTAGCACAATTTTGGAGGTGATGGAAACATGTATTATGAAAGCTATGGGTATTTTCAATTTGAAAATACTGGAAAGCTATCAAGGTTGGTGCTTTTGGATGGGTTCAGTCTGTTTTGTACAAATACTCAGGATGCACCTGACAATTGGAATTTGTTGGGTGTGATGCCAATATTATTATAGATTTTAAAAATCACAGGAGTCTGTGTTGAAATTATTTGATGCCACTTTACAGTAGGTATCATAAAGTCAGACAAAGTGGCTTATTTCCACTGGGAGTCCTTGCCATACTGCCAAAGATTTAAATGATTGGCTAATTGTATGTGAAATTTTGATCATTAATGACCAGCCTCTTAACTCAGCAGGGTTTAATCTGATAGAGAAGATGTAGAACCTTATCAGTCATGAGTTTCATGTCATGTATGTGTCTATCCCCAAAATCTTAAGTGCCATTAACCCTTAAACTGTCTAAACGTAGATCTACGTTTTTTCAACATTTGAAAGTATGTAAAAAAGTAGATCTTTTTTTTTTTTACATTTGAAAACGTGTAAAAAAAAACTTTGATCTACTTTTTTTTTTTTGTTATATTTGAAAATATGTAAAAGAAACGTAGATCTACTTTTGGAGAATTACGCATGTGAACGTAGATCTGCTTGGACAGTTTAAGGGTTAAGCAGGTGTGGGAAGGTATCGACTCTTCTACCCTGCCTAGAAAATGGATAATAATAATATAATCGAAACTAAGCGCTAAACCATCAAAGGCCATACAAAATAGTAGGTCACATGAGCAATTCATACAGATTTCAGTATTTTATAGTTATGATGAGCATTCTCATTATTTGTGTGATGAGTTTATGCATACGTATATCTGTGATGCCTACTGGAGATACTTCATAGCATACCTTATGATCAGTATTTAGCACTATGTTAAAACTGTTATTGCTGTACCTGAGTACTTTTAATTATTGCCTAAGTTGCCTCAGGTTGTTTCTAAATGCTTTAATTTTACAACTACAGTGTCCTGTCCTTGCCCATTTTACATATTTCTTTACCTGTGTAATTCATCTAGTGCTGCAACATCTTGCCTTTTGCATTAAACCTTTTCAGTAAATGATTTATGAATAAGATGCTGTTTAATATTTCACCAGTTATCCAGGGTCTGATTCTGCTTTTTTTGTTCTAATCTCTCATTTGGTAGTAGAAGTGTTAGGATAGAGGGGGAAGTGTTAAGGGAAGAGATGAAGGTGTTGAGAGTACAAGTGGAGGTGTTGAGAGTACAAGTGGAGGTGTTGCAAGTACAAGTCGAGGTGTTGTGAGTACAAGTCGAGGTGTTGTGAGCACAAGCGGAGGTGTTGCAAGTACCAGAGGTGTTGTGAGTACAAGTGGAGGTGTTGTGAGTACAAGTGGAGGTGTTGTGAGTACAAGCGGAGGTGTTGCAAGTACCAGAGGTGTTGTGAGTACAAGTGGAGGTGTTGTGAGTACAAGTGGAGGTGTTGCAAGTATAAGTGGAGGTGTTGTGAATACAAGCAGAGGCAGAAGCCAATACTGTGCATTACAGACCAAGAGTTACAAGTTAATAAATATATTTATGTTGCTTTTGCATTTTATATAAGACATAATTAGTGCCTACATTACCCAGGTACAAAACATCAACTGTATAACAAAATATTTATATTTAGTTATAATTCCAGACAAGTTAATACATCTCTATATTATTATATTTCTTTGAAAATATGTTCAAAATTATTTAAAATTATCTAGACTTATTCAGAGCTACCATAACAGTGACGTCTTCAAGATTTAAAATATTGTACATAAAAGTATACGAGGTCAGTTACTGGAGTTTACCTGGAGAGAGTTCCGGGGGTCAACAACAAAATGTTTTGTGTACATTTTTAATGCATTATTATATCATCATTTAATAATCATGTTTTCATGACAAATTACTGACTATCATGTAGTTACAATAATTAGGTGTTAATTATTACATAACAATGACCCAAGTTGAGATTGATGATAAGTATATGTAGAGAACAAAAAATTAAAAAAGCATTTGATAACAATTAACTCAGTCGCAGCTTTTCCAAGCCAGTAAACATCCCCTCAATGAAGGTTTGCTGATGGTGGTGAGATGCTCATGATTCAGGAAATTGAGTCAGTGCTCCTATTCTTGGACTAAACTTCAACATATTCCATTTCCAGAAGAATCCCTCCTCCACAAGCCATGCATGTCTTAAGAGGTGACTAAAATTCCAGGAGCAAGGGGCTAGTAACCCCTTCTCCTGTATAAAGTAGTAAATGTAAAAATAAATGCCTTTGTTTTTCTTTTTAAATCATCCTGCCCTAGTGAGAGATGGCTGGCACACTGAAAAAAAAAAATTATGAAAGTGTTTCTTCTTTTGAGGTCACCCTGCTTCAGTGGGAGACAGCTGGTGTACAAAAAAAAACAAAAAAAACAAAAAAAAAAAAAAGAAATTTCCATTTCCCTAGGCACTGTATGACCCCTATGGTCTTAGCACTCCCCCTGTATGAATATGACCAACATGTCAGGCTGCCATTTACGGTCAAAATCTTCCTGATGCAATGAACACATTTTCTGGGAATCATCTCTTAATTTATAGTATCATGGCATAGCTTAATAAATAAAAAAAAATGTTCTGGCTTTAAATAATGTGTATATGACTACAGTATTTAAATAAACTCAGCCTTTGTCTAGAAAAAGTTCACTACTACACTGATAGTTCATAACATGAAAACAACAGATTGATATTAAACTCAGTGACTCAAGGTATACAGTACAAAAACATATATTAAACCTGGAGTAAAATAAACTGATATAATTGCACAACATGTTAAGACATATAATAATATTTCTGTTCTATGAAATAATCAGAAAAAAATAATACTGAGGTGGTATTACAGGAATTCTGGAAATATTTTTACAATAACACGCTACTATTATTAGAGGGTTAAATTCTGAGGGGTTAAATATTTTAATACCATAATTTCATTTTTATGTTGTTATTGGAGGAAAAATATTACATTTAAAAAAATTATAACAGACACTGAACTCAACATGATTTGTATAAATGGTTTAGAAAATTGATAAGTTGATAAATGAGGCACTTGTGCAACATTTGGGAGTCTTCATTTTGGTAACTTTTCACTAGCCAGTGGCTTCTTCAGTCCAATATAGAGAAGAATGGTGGAAAATGAGAAGTTTGAGGTAATCAGTCCCTCAGCCTGGAGTCGATGTGTTCAGTCCATCATTTTCAATCAAATTACTTTTATTATGAATGATGGATTGAACACATCGACTCGGGGAGAGACTGATTACTGGAAACGTGTCCCGTAGCTCGACTGCTAGCACTCATCTCACACAGTGAGGTCTGGAGTTTGAATCCCCGGTATGGCTGGATAACATTAGGACATGTTTCCATAAGACACCTGCTGTCCATGTTCACCCATCAGTATAAAATAGGTACCTAGGCATTAGTCGACTGGTGTGGGTCACATCCTGGGACGAAACTGACCTAATATGCCCGAAATGCTCTACATTACAAGCGGCTTTCTATAGAGTAGTATGTCATAGATGTCAGCTAGGTTTGTATACCTTGTACATGTACTTGTAGAAATACGATATTATATTATTATTAAATGTTGCACAAGTGACTCATTTTTCAAGATGACTGACACATTAAAAACTGGATCAATTATCAAATATTATTTAATCTTGCACAACTAGAGGAAGATCCTGATTATTGTTTCAACATATTACCCTCTGTATCTTTCTCAGTGTAATTGGCACAGACATTCACTATGCTTCTTCACATTCTTCATACACAACACATATGCCTTCATATATATAAAAACTGCACAAATATACATACTGTACAAACAATGAATATATATACATGCACATTATACAGTATGTAAATTTCCCTAATACATAATATCTGGGTTCATATAAAATATCAAAGCAATACTTTACACATTTTTGGTTTCATTACATTGTCAGAATATAATTATGTAACATTAAGTACACACTAACACACTGAGCAAAGAAATAAAAATATTCATTCAAAAGAAAATGTATTAGCATATGTACAATGTCTACAATTGTCTGGTATAAATAACTTTAAAGATAACTATGCTATACAGTTTATAAATCTATAAAAGTCCCTTTATGGACAACTAACTATAGAATAACTGATTGTTATTATTTCTGCTCAAGCTTCGTGGATTTGTGTCGCTGTCCTGGCGCCTGATTCCAGGCCTGGCAGTGTTATATCGAACGACATCCTGAGTAGGCTCCTGAGGTGAGGGTGATCTTCCGAGAGAAGATTCCAGTGCGCCTTGCATATCTAAATCTCCATCTATATCATCTATATCTGAAAGAAAATCATTCTATAAAGTTTTCATTTACAAGAATGACAGCCAGTGACATTCTGTAGCATTTGACAACTCCCTCCCCTTCAAAGGGCTACAGTTTTTTCGTGTTACGGGAGAGGGATTGATGTGCACTTCAGTGGTATTGGAGGGGCACAAAGACTAAGACAACCCATGCCAAAGAGGACAAACTTAAAGATTTGTCGCTAATTTGTGAGTTACTTGTCAGATCACAACTTTCAGTATGATTTCTGTGCATCTAGACCAAAATGCATTTTTGTATTGTATTTTGTGTTGTCAACAGCATCTCAGAGAGCTCTGCAAATTCCAGAACCTGAATTTTGATTAAACTGAACACTAGATGAACCAAAACATCCTTGCAATGAAAAAAAAAATTTGTTGTGATAAACAGATAAGGTTTTGATGGTATAACTTAAGAGGGAAAAAAAATCACAATACATGTATCTAATTTTCTAAAAAATTACGACCCTACTGCAGTGACTCTCAGAGGGAGCGGTGAAGTACACAGGTGCAGCAAGAGAGGATGGCAAGTGTGGCAAGAAGGACAATCATAGAAACATTTAAACATTCATGTACAGAAACCTGTAGAAGTTTCCAGATTTCATACCATCTCAAATTAGACCTAATATAAATGAGATTACCCAACAAAAACAAGCTCACATCTCCCACTGAGTCTGTATACTTACTTAAGGTTACATATACTGTATAAGAGGCTTGTCTATAAGTAGTATATTTTTGGGAAAAATCATGTTTTTATGTAACTGCATTGTTTTATACTTTCTGGATGTCCCATGATCATATTATAAAGTAGTTGCAATTTATGTTATGAATCAAGCACTAAGAGATCTTTTTTTTTTGTTTTTGAATGTATTTCTTATCAATAAAAATTTGGTGGTGAAAGCAAATTTTTATTCTAAACGTGTGGCCTAGAAAAAAAAGTTTGGGAACCACTGCCCTACTGTATTCAGTAGAGCATTACAGAAGTAAATATATACAGTGGAACCCCTACTTATGAGTTTAATCCATTCCGTGACCTTGCTCGCATCTCGATTTGCTCATTTGTTGAGTCAATTTTCCTCATTTAAATTAAATGAAATGGAATTAATCCATTCCAGTGAAATTTCAGGCACAACAAAATACTTCAATATTTCCCTAATATCAACTCTATCCTAGGTAGTAGGTTGGTAAACAGCAACCGCCCAGGGAGGTACTACCGTCCTGCCAAGTGAGTGTACACCGAAAACCTGTAATTGTTTTACATGATGGTAGGATTGCTGGTGTCTTTTGTCTGTCTCATAAACATGTAAGATTTCAGGTATGTCTTGCTACTTCTACTTGCACTTAGGTCACACTACACATACATGTACAAGCATATATATACACATCCTCTGGGTATTCTTCTATTTTCTTTCTAGTTCTTGCTCTTGTTTATTTCCTCTTATCTCCATGGGGAAGTGGAACAGAATTCTTCCTCCGTAAGCCATGCGTGTTGTAAAAGGTGACTAAAATGCCGGGAGCAAGGGGCTAGTAACCCCTTCTCCCGTATAAATTACTAAATTTAAAAGAGAAACTTTCGTTTTTCTTTTTGGGCCACCCTGCCTTGGTGGGATACGGCCAGTGTGTTGAAAGAAAGATCAACACTATGTCTTATTTAGCTAATATGACTTAACAAACAATATATATAACATAGAAACCTGATATATACACCTACCATCCAACTTACGACCTGCTCGACTTACGACCACTCAACTTACGACTGTCTTTTTTATGCCAAATTTCTGGGAAACAAACAACTATTTGTGTTGTACACAGTGTTTATCCTAAACCTTACAGTATAAAATACAGTACTAACAGCATAAAAAGTAAAGTAAAACGTGAAATACCAAAATAACAAAATAAAACAATAAAATAAAGTCATTACAAAAATGTTTTGTTGATATTCAGTAGTAAAGTTTGACTTACGACCATTTCGACTTACGACCGGTTTCTCGGAACCAAACTCGGTCGTAAGTCAGATGGTAGGTGTACTCTAAAATGAATAAAGTACGTCATTATGTGACAGGTAGAGGCAGCCATAACTGCTCCTGCATTGTTGTGGTATTCACAACAATGTTGTGGGAAAATTCTAGTTAGGAAAACAAATGTAGGTCAGCTGTACACAATCACGAACGAGAATGATCTATCACGATTTCTCAGGGATATTAATCTTACAGAGAATAAATAAACAATGTCCAACCTAAAAGCCTATGTGTAGTGTATGTTTTGCTCCATTATTGTACAAAGTTCATAGTACAATCTCTTAGCAATCAAAAATCAACTACCTCAGTAATGTGATTTTACTAGTAAGCATAAGTCACCTTATGTTATATAATTTTCTTAAATACTAATGTTTGCTTAAATATTTGCTTAATTAATACTTTCTCTGTCCATATTACAACCTCATATTTCTTTAAATACTATTAATTGCTATTACTTACCAAATTTATTATCAAATACCATTTTTTACTTACCAAATTTATTACCAAATACCATTTTTTACCCCTAGGTAGTAGGTTGGTAAACAGCAACCGCCCAGGGAGGTACTACCGTCCTGCCAAGTGAGTGTACAACGAAAACCTATAATTGTTTTACATGATGGTAGGATTGCTGGTGTCTTTTGTCTGTCTCATAAACATGCAAGATTTCAGGTATGTCTTGCTACTTCTACTTGCACTTAGGTCACACTACACATACATGTACAAGCATATATATACACACCCCTCTGGGTATTATTCTATTTTCTTTCTAGTTCTTCTTCTTGTTTATTTCCTCTTATCTCCATGGGGAAGTGGAGCAGAATTCTTCCGCCGTAAGCCATGCATGTTGTAAGAGGCGACTAAAATGCCGAGAGCAAGGGGCTATTAACCCCTTCTCCCGTATAAATTACTAAATTTAAAAGAGAAACTTTTGTTTTTCTTTTTGGGCCACCCTGCCTTGGTGGGATACGGCTGGTGTGTTGAAAGAAAAGAAAGACCATTTTTTACTATCGGTACAATTTACTCTTAACATTTTTGACATTATTTTAGTTACCATTACTTGTTTAATTACCATAACCTGTTTTAATACCACATTTACTATCTTAGAGTAGTTCCTTACTCTTAAATACCTTGTACTGCCAATTAAGCTCTAGTATAACTACCAGTGCAATACTGAATCCAAATAACTGTTCTTAAAATTTAGTACTTGATATAAATATTTCTTTTTTCATTTTATTTTTATTAATTAATATTTCTTGTAATCATTATTACTTACTAAAATTTTATTAAACACCATATTTACTACCAGTCAATTTTACTTTTGTACATTAATCATTATTTTATACTTTTCTTAACCTTTTGTTGCCAAATTTTCAAGTTTGTATATTCACCTCCAACCTTTATACTGTATTATCCTTTGTACCATCTTACTCTCATATTATAACCAAGTCATTGCCATTTTTCTTTTTCTATTTTTTCTTTTGGTACATTAATTTGTGTATTTTATCTTGTCAATTTCAATCTAGTTATACTCGTGTTCTTGTTAACAACTTATATTAGACCTTAGTGCAATTGCAAGTGAGAGTCTTGTACCATTTTAACTTGCATTCTTATATTATTAGTTTATACCTACTTTAGCTCATTCTAGCTCAATACACAGACAACACCAAATTCATTATATTAGATCTTAGTGCAATTATAAGAGTCTGGTGCTATTTGTAATTTCGTATTAGTTTATACCTAGTTGTACTTTAGCTCATTCTAGCACAACACACAGACAATATCAACTTCATTATGTTTATTAGTGACTATACTCTATATGACCAAAGTGCTTTAGCTATATACTTGTCCAAACCTCCCACCACTACAGAAATCAGTATTAGAACTCACCGCACAATACAGGATATAAATAACCACTATTTAAACCTAAAAGATGAATGATCACGTTGACCCTGATCTAAACCTCCATCATCTACACACAATCAAAACTTATTGGAGAGTTACTGCCTTCTATTACACAGCATCACAAGCCAACACTTCCCTAAACACTGCTCAAAGTCTATCAGTTCTTAACTACAACATCAGGTCCTTAAGCAAACACTATGATGACCTCCTGGCACTCCTTGAGTCGCTAAAGACACCCTTGTCCTTCATTATTCTTACTGAGACCTGGCTTAAGCAGGACACACTAGATATCTACCCAATACCAGGATACACAGTAATCCACAACTGCAGACCATACCAAGTTGGGGGTGGTATTGCAATCTATTACTCTAAACAACTATCTTGTATTAGCACCACTTGCTTTAGTGATGAATATCTTTGCTAATTTTACTGTAAAAAACCTTAAGATGCCTATAACAATCGGTGCCATTTACCGGATACCCCACACAAACATCCCAAATTTCAGTGAAAATCTAAAGGCACTAATAACAAACAGACAAATGAACAAGCACCACTTTCTCTTAGCTGGAGACTTCAATATCAACCTTGGCCAACCAGATGATCAGCCTGTAACTGATTTCATCAACAATATGAACAACACACTTCTCATACCAACAATAACTAAACCAACCAGGATAACTGAGACAATTGCAACCATAATAGACCACATATAGACCAATATACTAGCCCCCCTTAAATCTGGGATAATCACAGACAGCACTACTGACCACTACCCAACCTTCCTCTTAACAAACATTAGTAAGCCACCACTCGAATACAACAAAGTTTCATCTAGACTCCATGACGAGGCCTCAATAAGGAATTTCACAGCAGACCTAGAGACTGTTGACTGGCCTACAGAATTCTCCAATGCCAATGGTATTGACATCTGGACAGACATTTTTCTTAACAAAATACTTAGACTATACAACAAACATTGTCCTATAAAAACGAAACAGATCACGAATAAATGGCTCGGTTGCCCATGGCTAACCAGCAGCATTCTGAAATCCATTGATAAG